TCATATTCGTGAATCTGGGCTTTGCATACTTTTTAACCACCCTGATGAAACACTTTCAAGCACTGATGTGCACTTTTGTGAGCATAGCTGTGAGTGTCAAACCTGAATATGACCACGGGGTGCCAATGTATTCATTTGATCTTAGATACATTATACCAGGATAGCTAGACAATCATAGGCTCAGGCGAACTGACTCAACCAACATTTAGAGCACACTTCGACGATAACAAAATTCACGCCAATTAACTATACCCCTTGCTGAACGATTTATTTGCCAATGAGTCTACTGCGAACCAGACCAATCATATCAGCAAGGGATCGGCACTCAACCGGCAAAAGAACATAGACGTCCTGTGACCAGTCAGCACGGAACCAAACGCCTCACGACGGCACGCCCCTCACGAAAAGTCTGGCCTAGCTCAGGGAGCGCATGGGAGGACACCGGACACCAGAGCGTGCCGCCGCTAACCGGCCGCCGCACCCGCCCGCTCCCACCGGCTTTGGTTTTGATCTATGGGGTGCCTCCAGAGCGTCATGTACATGACAAACCCGCGGACACCAGGACAGCTGAGGCGGGAGATACGTGCTGCGGTATGCGTGGTACGCAGGGGTGTGTACCACCAGACACGTGTACTTACGTGGCCCAGAAGGTCAACAGGCGTGTCACAATGTGTGTTGTTCTGAAAGGAGGGCACTTTAGAGCACTGCCCTCGCGAGCGCCAGACTTGCATCGCAGACCACGATTGTATGTGAATACTTTTGTATGCGTCACGCTCTAAGCTGGTATGCATATTTCAACATTCGTGGCATAACTGAAGGAGTTGTGGACATAAACGTGGCTTGCTTGGGGAAGCACCTTGTGTGGTTTATTGCGCAGCACACGTGCACACACATACACATGGAGGCGTGGTGATCAAACACACCACGTTAACGACCACCGGAGCGCCGTCATTCTCCCCAGACACACAGACACGCCGTCATTCTCCCCAGACACACAGACACCGTTCACGTCACGCGTCGCAACAAGGCAGACACTATTCAGAGGCCGTTCACGATGAATGCGCAGGTCTCCGCGTCGCCGGATCTTCGGCACTATCGAGACGATCAGTGTGCCGCCATGTGCCCGTCCCGGTGTCTGCGATGGATCAGGAGACGGGCCGACAGCGTTTTTAGGCACCCATGTGACCGGCGCCACCGTGGCCCGCACACCAATTTAGAGCCCTCCGCTGACCCATAAATGCTGCAGTTTGCGGGACCTAGCTTTGGCAGTGTGCCAGCATCACTCAGGGCAGGCATCCTTGTTCTAGTTTACGGAACGCATTGACACAGTGGCATGCAAACTTGTAGTTTTACGTCGAGACAACGTCGAAATGCAGTAACGACGCTTGCAACGTTGTAACAATGCAGCCAGAGGCGCACACATGATTTCGTTGGGAAGTGCTGGTAATGTTTACCGCACCACTGCCCGTCCCGTATCGATTTTGTTATGCCAGGTTCCCTCATTCTTCTACCCCGCTCCATTTTCATTCGTAAGCATGAAATGGTAAGAATTTCTCCTCGGGGGGGGGGGGGGGCAAGTTGACGGCCTGACAGCCTAGTCTCCCTCGAAACTTTCAGTTCTATACGGATTGCACCCCCTTTTTATGCTTCACAATTTTCATATTGGATGTTTTTGTATCACTCGTTGACTACTCTTTTATCTAGACGAAACTGTAGTTTTTGTATCGGCCAATCATCTCCGAAGAACATGGACTTTGTGCGACAATCAGCAGTCTCCAAAACCTTGGGCATATTCCAGCAAAAAGGGCTGGGGAGAGGCAAAACAGCGTTGTAGTCCAAATCAACACGTGGTGACCAAAGCCCAGAATAATACAAATCGCCACCTCTGCACTGGTATGTACATGGCTGACAGCTGCAAGAAGCGCAGTACTGTGAATGCAAAACAAGTATGATAACTTGGGGTATTCCGGTGAGTATGACAAGGTAGGGGTCCAAATTTCTGCTGGCCAAACCCGTTGGGTGCGCTTTCGCAGCTGGCCCGTATGAGGTTTTACTGTACTGTCATCGTCAAAATGTTTTTTAACAGCCTCCGTGGCACGCTTGCCCTTGCCTCATGATCTTTCGGCTCCCCTTTCACTGCCCCACTAAACCAATGCCCCGTCCTCCGCTCTACCGGTTTCCACCGTTGCGCGCGTGTCCACGGTGCCCAGCGGTGCGCCGGTCGGCAGAGGGTGCGCCAGGGCGCGGGCGTCCGAGGTCGCCGCCGGGTCGGAGGGGCCACACCCACGAGCGAGCCGCGCCCGGCCGCGCCGGCAGATGGCTCCCGGTTCAGACGGCCACGCCCTGGCTGCCGCCCTGGGCTGGCACGCCGCTGCAGCCAGCGGCCGCTGCCGCTCCCCGGGCGGCCCCCGACCCGCTGCAAGGACAGCCGGCTGCCCGGCGCCGCCAGCACCGCCAGCACCGCTAGTCCAGCAGATCACTTCACGGCCACACGATGGAAAGGCGGCGGAACAAAGCAAAGCTGGACAGGTGCTCCGGTTAAACGCTCAACACAATGGAAGTCGCCGCGCTGATGCATTTGTTTTCGTTTTTGACGCATGCATCGCTGTTGACGCATGTCTTTCACGTTACGCGCAGTGGCTCGACGCTGTGAGCGAGATGCATATATATTTATGTAAATGTAGAAAGATTAGCCGCACTTGTTTCTAATGCACCATATTTTCATCAGAAGGTAGGCAAATTACATCACAGCTCCTCTACACCACAAATACATGCATCCCTACACAACTACTCCATTTTCAGGCTTTGGTTCTACTAGTTGCCTAACGACCCTGAATAAATAAGTGGAGGTCAGGAGGGAAGAAATAAACTTCTCGACCACCAAGCACACTCATATTGAGCTGCCATACTTTCATGAGATGGAATGAAGGAACAGCCAGATAACATCCGACGGCTAGCGCGGCATGAACGTTTGAGTCTATGACTAGGTCGTGTCATCAGGACATGACTTCGCATGACCTTGATCTATATTTGTGGCACAGATACGTAGGTGCTCCTTTGTTTGACCGTTGCCGGTTGACTGTTGAGCTGTTTGACTGCTCCTCTCGTGAGAAGATCAGATCTCAAGGTCAAGATCAGGCGTGTTCCAGTCGGCCCACGACAGAAGTTGCGTGTCATTCCGGACGCAACTGGACATCTTGCCCGTCTGACTCTCGAACTGTCACTAATAGAGGCCTTTCACCGCACTACTCCTCGTTTATTTTAATACGTGGAGATGATAATACCTGCACGCAGTGGTCTAAGCCCGAGGCAATGGTCCGCACCCAGCCATTCTTACAATCGTCATGAGCTGATTATTTTGTACACAATGCATAGCAACAACCTCCCCCGGGTCCACATTGCTTTTCTCACCTGTGCTGTATGAGTTGAACTCGCCATCTGAAAATACATGCTCTCAAGTAACGGCACCGGACAGATCGCGTAAAGCGAGATTGTGTTCGCGTCGTTGAATGCTGTTGCAAAAGCGCCCCGATTGGCCAAATAACACCACCAGGATGAAATAAGGAATTCAGTCCCCTTTTACGCCATGGCCTGTGCGTGACATCAGCATGGCTGTGAGATCGGTGCCAAATTATAGCCATCGACTCACTTCACCGCATGCCGATGTCAGTCCGCCCGCAGACATGACCACGACATGCTAAATCCTGCGGCATGCGACACGCGACACGCCATGAAGCTCGAGCCTGGCCGGCATAGGCCGTTTCGTGTCATGTGAAGTACCCGCTCATGGCACAGTAACGGCACAAGCGTTGGCGGTGTCGTCTTCTTGAATACACACAGCGATATGGCCTATCAATGCCAAACGAGGTCAACAAGATCTACAATCATTTCCTAAAATCTGACACCGGCCTAAAAGGTGCATCTTACCTAGTTTGACGTTGTCTGACCTGACCTCCGAACTACGTTTTATCGAATAGCATTGGCATGTGGTATGATGACGAATGCCAACTCAATGCCTTATGGTGCGCATTCGTCGACAAACCTAAGCTATTGGGTATCTGAACGTCAAACGTGACTGTCATGACCTTCTCAAAGCGGTCGTCTTTTGTCAGAGAGTGCCGGAGGAAGTTAAAAGAGACTTATAGAGGGTATTATTATAGAGGTTTAGAGATAGGAGGATTATTATAATAGGTTATATGACCTTGTAGAGATGCCTACACACAAACACACACAACACACGCATATATATATATATATATATATATATATATATATATGCATATGTGTATATATATATATATATATATATATATATATATATATATATATGCATACGCATATATATGCATAGATACATAGATATATGTATATACATACATACATATGCATGTATATATACATACATACGCATGTATATATGCATATATGTGCATATATACATGTGTGTGTGTTTGTGTGTGCATGTGTATATGTTATATTTAAGAGGCATAAGGTGATTGTACGTTATTCCAGCTTTTAAGAAAGGTATTGACATTGCGTACGGTTAAAAAAGAGGCATTTTGGTAGCTCCTGGTTTGTCTAATACGTAGGTTTCAGATGCCTCTTAGAGCAATCCCTGCGCGGTGCCTAAAGTGAGGAATTATTATTAGCCTGGTGTGATATAAGAAAGTCACGCTTTCAGTGCTTCAGATACTTTCATGGCAATATCCGGGTTGGGCCTTTGAGGTCCCTCAGCCTCGAGTGTTTAAGTCATGCACGCTCATTTTAAGAGTGATGATATGCACCTAATAATAGAATCCCTGAACTCCCAGAGGTGATAGCCTGACACGGATGGCCGGACCGCTCTGGTTGTCAGGGGCGAGTGCTCTGTCCAGTGTCGGCCAAAGGCATGTATTGAAATCGGAGCTTGTGCCAAGGAATGTTGGCTCTGCGAGGGAAGACATGCGCCGCGTCCGCGTGGATCAGTCCCGCAACCAAACCGCGGTTTGTGCTGGTTTCAGGATGGAAAGACCACCTCTGCATGCTTTCATGGCTACTGCTGCTGCCGCTGACGGCCGGCCAGGAGCCGCCCTACGCACTGCCAGATGTGAGTAGCCCTGTAAAAGCGTTCGCGTGACGTCTGGTGTGAGCAGAGTTTCCAAACTGATATGTGTTTTGGACGTGCCTGCCGTTTTAAGCAGCGAGTGTCGCCAGGAGATGGATACAGCTGCAGGCACATTATCGGGGCGTAAGGTCGGCAGAGACTGAAAACATGTATGCGTGTTACAATAAGAAAACCTGTATGATGGTGATGACATTTGGGTTTAGGAGCGCTTCGACAGCCTTGGTTATTTTGCACTCGTAGAAAAGTTGGGTGTACCAACATGATAACATTAGTCAGCCAGGTAAAATGACAACGATCACTCAAAAACGAAATCAGTGGTGGCACATCACGCCACATCATCCGTTAGTCTTTGACTGCTTAGCCTTGCATGTCTTTCTTACTTGGCTCACCATGTACTTGTGCATTTACCCTGCCGTGTCGTATCGTTAATGACCCCTGATAAGCGTGGCGCCAGGCAGGACGGGCTCAGTGACTCATTGCCCCCAACCCATGGGCCAATGTCGTCATACTCAGGTTCAGTTTGTACTTGACGACACACCCATGGCTGCATGCTTTCTTCTTCATTGCCGCGCGTCGTACTACTGAAATATGATAGTCACCCCATAGAACGCCTCAGCGCACACTAAACACGCAGTGCCTTACCTGAGCGCACTGCGTGCCGCCGTGCTGCGCGGGCCGTAGTTGTCGCTTGCGAAAATATCCGGAGGTCAGCAGGTGCAGTGAAATGGAAGCGAATCGTACTCCCACACCCCACCATAGCAAAGACGGCGGCGCCCTATCTCCGCACGTGGTCCTGGTACAGCGTATCGGATGGCGCCCCGTGTCTCATGCTGCTGATGTGCTGCGTTATCGGTGGTGTGAGCGATCTACTCATGTGTGCCTATTGTCATGGCTGTGTCAGTATTGTCCTGCAGTGTGCATCCACGAACCTTGTGTCCATTGAGCCCAAGTTTGCGTGGTATCGTTTTCATTCATCGCATTGTTGTGATTTGTGTCATTGAATGACACGTGTGACATTACTGACCTTCACGACCGCTGTCACACACCTACGTCCATATTTGCACAGCAAACAGAAAGACGGCATTGTTCTCAGCATCCCTGTCAAGGTGTGTGTAACAGAAGGCATTTGATAGAGTTGAGCTGCCGAAGTGACTCGTGGATGGAGCATTGGTCCACACTGCATACTGCAGTCATATTGCACGCCGCACAGTTAAGTTCAAACCTTATTTGCGCCGGTTTTGCGAGCAACAAAAAAAATATTCGTTACGCGGAGAGCTACCGTATTTACACTTGGTGCACGTTGGGGACGTGCCAGGTGCCACATGTTGGCGGAGACGTTTTCTCATACTCAGAGCTGTTTTTTTCCTACGAAAGTGCTCCTGATTCGATTCGCCATGGTAATCCGAGGTACTGACATTTCGGGTCAATTAGGACTCGTGTTTTACTGGTTGTTTCGTAACTTGCACCTCTTGTTCCCATGCTTGCGAATGGGTACGTTTGCCCGAGCCTATCCCTTAACACAAGAACCCCACATAGGCATATCACGCGTCTGGAACGTATCACGTACTGGACGTTTACATGGCACGAGCCACATAACGATCCTGCAGTGTTCTGCACCAGACCTATGCGGCCACCAACGGTAAAAAAGTAAGACAATGCCAGTAGTACAGACAGTAACTCCAGCAGTGCCCCAGGCACTGCTGGACTGCTGCCCAATACGATCTCAGCGGGTGGTTACGTTACCGGTGGCCTTAGCAATGAAATAGCGTCATAACAGGCTGAATCATTGTAAGTTTAAGGTTTGGTCGTCACGCAATTGTGATTCGTTTCCGGCCATTATTCGTGATGTTCACATGTGAGATGCCACATGGCCTTCGGGCGGCCTTACGGTCAGCGTTGCGGAAAGTGGCCGATGCGCGTTTCCTTCGTGGGCGTGGCAAATACATTTCCAGGCAACCCTGCATTGTTGTGCTAAAAAATACACTTGATTTCATGGCAAATTGCTGAGCGACTGTGACTCAAAATTGTTGGCTATCTTACGTCCTATTCAGTGCGTCTTTTGCCGTGTGCAGCTCACGGAGACCTAAATTGGTGACGAGGATTGTTTAGTCATTCTCTGGGTTTTCAAAATCTACCAAGTGAATCATCTGGCAAGTGGCTATCGAGTTACATTCTGCCACTTGATGACCTCAAAGACCAGCGCAATCCGAAGAGTCGCAGCCTCAGTAAGCTAAACCAAAATGGAAAACGAGCGCTTGCAACCGCATGCTTTATAATCTTATTCTCTCGATTCAAATTACGACAAGACATATTCTGACTCAATTGAGTGGAAGATACTCTCAAAGTTCCACAGTATCATATTATGCAAAATGTTTTACAACAAGCCATATAGAAAGATGTTTTGGAGTCGCAACATGCTGTCAACATTCAAATTTTCCGCAGAAAAGTGTAAGCAAATTTTGTGGTCCCTTCTCTTACTCTAGTGCTACTAACAGGTGCTGCGATGCATCACTTGGCCAAATCACTTCAATGAAATGCAAACTCTCACCTCAAAACATACCAGTTAGTTCAAATTGCGATCAGTTTGCGAAGATGCACATTAGTCTTGAACATGCTTTCCTCTGAACGTTCCGTTGGTTGCACTGAGTTATTCGACGCTACAAGAGGATTTGTTTCTAAGAAGTATGATAAGAAAAGTCACAAGGTCCTACTGGGGCACAAACGGTTCAGACACTGCAGTCACAAAATCGGAGCGGCTCCTTTTGCTCACGCAAAAAATGCGTACAAGTTTTACAAGTATTTTTACCTTAAATAACGATGCCACTTTTGCCAATTATGTAACATTTACAGGAGTGGCATGGGGTGTCTTCCTGCGATGGACCCGCCATGTGCACCGTAAGCATTACACCACGCCCACAGCCATTTTAAAATGCTTCGCGTGATTATCGAATCACCACCACGACTTTGGTTGGTGAGGTAGCATTTTGCTGAAGTCATTGCGCACGACTTGCTGGCGAGGTTGATCCCGAGTTAACGTTTGTCGTGAATGTGTGACCGTTGTCTCGCTGTCCACAGCTGAACCTGGGCAATCTTCCGGACACCTCATTCTCCTGCGAGGGCAAGGTGGTCGGCGGCTACTATGCTGACTTCGAGACCAACTGCCAGATGTTTCACGTCTGCACGTTGGGCCAGAAAGGTGTGCAAACGTTTACTGCCAATACCATTCGTCGGGTCTTTCGCTTGTTCTATACATCATTGGTCAGCAGGTGAAGGATGACACTTAGAATTCAGTTAGCCACCCGCTGTACTTGAAATGGAAGCAAAACTCCGTTAGTTTCAGTTCTTCATTAGATATATGCGCGCGAATCAAGGACTACCTCGCTTTACGACGCCGCGTCGCCTTCGTTGGACCGCTGCGGCCTCGCAAGCCGCGCTGCTCGGGCGGCGGCGGCGGCGGCGGAGATCGGCCCTGCCCCGGTATCGACGCGGCCTGACCCACAACTGACGACCTCGCCCCGGGCCGGCCGAACGGCGTCGCGGCCTGTCGCAATTAACCGATCTGAGGCCGACGTCGCCCACACCCGGACGGCAGCCAGCCGGCCGGGCCCTGCGGCCGTGGCGACAGGCCGGTAATGGGCCGCTGGGGAGGACCGGCGATCGGTGCGGCGCGCGCAGCAGGCTGGAGTCGCTGACAAACACCATGTATATTGATGAGGATCCATGGACAGCGCTGCATCGCTAATGACCGGCCGACGAGCAGAGCACAGATCTGCGGGAGACTCATGTGCGGCGCACCGATAACGATGGGTGACGAAGACCGTGTTGATGGATCACAAGTGTCGGCAGCGTCGCCCGCACCGGCACCCCCCAGCGCCGCCGCTCGGCGCACGTCTCACTGACATTGGCAGGCGGCCTCACTCATTATCGCTTCACTCGTCTGGCTCAGGTATTTGTAGTCATGGCCAGACACCATGGTAACTGCCGTAGCGAGTTCGGTGCGCCGTCCTTGCCGCAGCCCGAGAGTCGCTCGCGAGGGTTCGGCTTACAAATGGGTTCAGTAACGGTAACGCACCAGTTCAAGAGTGGTAGGGCTTGCAAGTGGGCTGGCGATGGCTTGACCTGCCCGATGACCAAACAAGGAAAACAAGGTAGTCGATTGCACTGACTCGTTTTCTTTCTTTGTGGCCGGCTCTTTGGCAGACCACAGATGTACTGGGAGATTATTGGTCGCAGCTGAATGGATTGTACGCTGGTACGGCTGTCATGTTCCGTACGTCAGGGCTTACGCAACCCAGAAGCTTGCGCTCGAGACCATTTGTTAAGGCGACATCGGCCATGCTCAGACCGACCACCGGCGTCTATTATTCGGACTAAGTTGAACTGGGCTCAGCAGGTATGCAGGCGGCGGATTCAGCAGCGCTACGCAATAATTTTCGAATGGTGCCCGCTCCGCTTGACAAGAACTCACGTCAATCGCCAAAGTACGCTCAAATCAGCCGCGTTCATGGCCCACGCTCGAGCGCGCGTGGCCCCCGGCGTGCAGTAACGGACACTTGCGTGGTCACCATTTCTTGCTCTTTTTGCCAGTTCATGCGATGGTACTACTTCGCTGCAATGCCGGGCGGTCGAGATCTGTGCTCAGTTTTCTCCCATGTTGCGGCGCTCTTTCACAGGGCGTTCATTTGGTGGGTTCCACGTTAATCCAATGGAACCGTTAGATAAATACTTATTATACTGCAATGCTGTTGAAAAACCATGCCTGGAAAGCAGCCTTGATTTAAATGCCTTAAACATGTTACGGTAGTTTGAAAAACCATGTTTCGTGTTGCCAAAAAATTGCATGCAGCCGTGGTTGCACGCTTGCAAAACTAATGCCATAAAAAGTGAAGGCCAGGCTAGGCTACCGTGCTCAAAATTTTCCATTAGCTAGACTGAGAAGTAAGCCCCGTTCGACGGACAGCCCAGTTTGACATGAGGGTCGTGACCACAGTGCACGGAGTATTAGTCCAATGGTCGTGACCAAAGGCCGCGGACATCGACGGTCGCGCCTATAGAACACATGAGTCACCAGCCGGCTGGTCCTGGCCACAGGACCCACGGCAAACCTGCTCTGGCCTTTTTGCAAGCAAAATGACGTTTAGCCGACCTACCCCCGAAGCCGTTCCCTGATTGGATCCGCAGATCCGGTCCGCTGAGGCATGCGCGGGAAGCCGTTTCCCCCTACCCCGCGTCGTTCGAGCGTCTCGCACCACGCGGGGGTCCGACCCGCGCAGGGGGCGCCCATGTCGTCCGACCGTCTCGCACCACACGGGAGCGCGCGATCGATCAGGACGTGATCAGACCCGGGTGTCGGTTACTTAACACGGCTGTGAGCCGGCACACGACCGTGAGCACGGCTGGCGTGACCCGGCCGGGTCGTTTCGCCAGGCGGCGTTTCAACACGCGCGCGCGGGCGCGCGGCCGCCCGTGGCGCCGACCGGCAGGGCCAGCTTCCCGCGGCGCGCGCCCTCCGCCCGTCTGATTGAATTGTTGGGCTGATCGGTGGTGAAAGATCCGCTCCCTCGCCATGGCGGGCTGGAGGGCAGCGGATCGGTGGTCATCGGGCCAGCGGCGCTACTTGGTATGATTTTTAGGCACCGAGGTCCGGGCCAATTTTTTATTTTGATGCTAGGCCTGTGCCGATGCAAGGAAAAAATGGTTTCAGAGGGTCCGGCACCGCTGAAGTACGTGTGTGTGTGTGTGGTGTGTGTGTGGTGTGTGTGTGTGTGTGTGTGTGTGTGTGTGGTGTGTGTGTGGTGTGTGTGTGTGTGTGTGTGTGTGTGTGTGTGTGTGTGTGTGTGTGTGTGTGTGTGTGTGTGTGTGTGTGTGTGTGTGTGTGTGTGTGTGTGTGTGTGTGTGTGTGTGTGTGTGTGTGTGTGTGTGTGTGTGTGTGTGTGTGTTTGTGTGTGTGTGTGTGTGTGTGGTGTGTGTGTGTGTGTGTGTGTGTGTGTGTGTGTGTGTGTGTGTGTGCCGGGAAGTGCCACCCCTCCAACGGGCTCTGTGGAAACAGGATGGTGCGGCAGCTGATTCCGACACTTACGTTTCTCAACCGGGATACATTGATGCAATGTCAAACGCTGTCAAGATCAGGCATTTTGCCAACTGGCTTGAACTGTGACATACACACATAACCAACGGTAGTTATGTCATTTTGGACTGAGCCCACCCTTACGCCGCAACATCCAGCAGACACAGGTGTACCAATCATACCCTCGGCCTCCGCCTGCTATCTTTCCCAGTCAGCTGCAGTATGTGTAACTTTAATCGGGCGTCATTCCCGGTGGTTTATAACGCCTACGTCCGATCCGTTTCTGAGCACTGCAGCTTGATATTGTCGGGCGTGGTCGGGGTTCCCACCAGGTGCGGGTGGACCGAGTGCAGCACAAGATTCTTATTTGGTTTCTAAACCGTACCTCGTCCCGTCTAGCCTGTTCTTGTTGCATCATAATGTCCTGCGTCACATTGAAGTTACCTTTTGTGTTTCGGTGCGAGTGCAGCAAGAGCTTTCGTTGCTAAGAGGTAGTCTTTGAGACAGGAGCGGATCAAGGGTTTTCCTCAGGAAAATTACTTGAGAACGGGCCCGGTGTTGTGAGGGTCGCTTGATGTCGCCATGCCTTAAATGCATAGTTAAGTCATATATGCACACAAACACGCACATATTTGTGTATACTATCTCTTAGTAATGGGCACAGGGGCTCTTAATCTTGAGTCGCGAGTACATTAACACTCGGCGACGCAGTCTCCGCTGGTCGGGCGGGGGCTGCGGCTGCATCCACAACAGAATGGATGCGAGAGCCATCATACGGCGGCCGAGAACGATCACGCAACGAAAAGTAGTGCTTTCGATCACCATGGAATTAGTCTGTGCGGCTCATGGGTACTCTGGTCTGTATATTTCACCTGTGTAATTTACGGATTGATCCTCTGAACGGATTAGCGGCCCAGCTCCACGAATAGTCAATATCTCACCGAACGCTGCACCATTGACGAGAACTGCGAAATCCAGGAGCGTGAGCGTTATTGCGTCATACATCGCTCCAAATGCCATAGCCAGCTGGCTTTAGAATCACGAACGATGGTTGTACCAGCCATGGTGGCTGCCTACGGTTGCTGAGGTCAGCACCAGTTATTCCGCCACGGTGATTGTAATCTGGATCACCGTCAGAGTGACGGCTCCCACTGTTTCGCCTCCCTTCCTGGTCGGTGCTGATCCACGCCCGAATGTTTCTTGCTTTAAAAACACACCAGACTGGACGGGCTCACCTCTTCCCTTGATTTTAAACAACGATGTGCAAGGTGTGATTTGCGCTTTGTATCGTCATTATTGAGCGTCATCCGCGATACAGATTCCGTGCACTACGCCACTGCCACAAGGGGGTGCCAAATGTCACTTTCGGCTGTTTTTTAGCGCGACCTAGTCTGAAAAACCGATCTTGCGTGGACCGTTCAGGATGTTGAAGTCTGAGTCAGTTGCAATAGGAGTTTCAAAATCAAACAGGTTGCGACTCCATGCATAATGGATATGTTGCAGTGCTGACGGCTGCTGGACGAGTGAATGTTTTGCTGTTTAGCTAGGAGCTGTTTCAGGCTGTTCCGGGTCGCGCACATAGTGGCATGGTTAGTCATTCCATTATAGCTCTTCTAAGCTGGTGGAAGAGGTTCCAGCCATGGCCACAATAGCGTTACTTGAGATCAAGACAAGCACGTACTCACATTTGCACGTCAGCATTGATGGCATAGCGGAGCATCGATTGTTCGCGTTGCCGTATGCAGTGCCAATCCGTTCTGAAGATTAGCGAAAACATTACCCTGGTAAAAATATGGGTCCAGGTTCTCAAAGCGAACAGGAGGAGCACAACAACAATGTGAAAGGCCCCTGAACAGTTGGGAGTGCCCCACTAGGTTGATGGATAGGCCCTCCAAACAGACGTATGGCCCACCACAAATTGGGGCAAGTAGGAGGAACGCTAGAACAATATATAGGGCCCCTTGGCACAGAGAGAATCTCTCTAGGTTAACTTGTAAGGCTTTGACAAGCGCCCAGGACCCTCCAGCAGATGGAAAACCCCAGAACAATGTAAGGGGCCTCCGATCTACCACGAGTGGGGCGCTCACGGGGTTAGGTTAAGATGTGGACCTTCAGTGGCAGCGTGCGGCCTCGCCAGCAGATAGGATAAGCGCGTGGAGGATCTTTGAACGATCGAGAAAAGGACCCTGACAACAGCCTAAGCATACCGAGAAAGGGACTCTGAAAACAGCGTAAGCAAATGGAAACAACCAAGGAAAGAGCACATGAAAGAACCAAGGGACTCTGACAGCAGCGTAGGCAGCCCGAGCAAATGGAAAGAACTCAAGACCAATGTGGAAGCCAGTGAACGATCGGGGCAGCCGATAAGTCAGCACAACAGACAGGGTCGACAATCAACATAGTCAGTAGCGTAAGGGGGTCCGGAACAGTGCAATGGGATCGGGAGCTTCTCGAAGATCGACCCTCCCAACCAGCCAAGAGTTCTTTCAGGCCGTGCTCTGGCCCCTCCTCTTTGACTGCGGCACCTCCCGGCCACCCGGAGGCCCGAGGGCGTCTAGTTATTTTGCGTTTTGTGTCAAAAACATGTTTTTGCTCGGCCCGTTCTAAACCCTTTCGAGCCCTTTTGTATCTGAGGAGAGAATCTTTCAATTTACCCCCTTGGATTCGCCTTTGCGTCGGGGAAAATTGCATCCTCCAGCTCTGCTCCCGACTGTTATTCGCAGGTGCCGCTTTGATCGAACGGTATACAGAGGCTTCCGTGCTCTGCAGGAGTGTAACTATGGTTTTGTTAGCATTTTGATCGTGCTTCCAAAGGTCTCAACACTTTTTCAGCCTATTGCGATGCAAAAGCTGGATTTCTTGATAAAAGCTGGAGCGTTTTCAGGAGGAGAGTCTTAAGGCACATTATGCATTTTTTTTTGGCGTATGCCACATGTAGGGTATGACTTATGATGTTTCATGCTTTGTCGCCCTGTATTACGTGCATGCTCCTTACGTTGCCAAAGAACTTCGCACGTCCGCGGAACATCTTTTGTCTGTCGGCAACAACAACTGATGAAAAATAAGCCGTTGCTGGGCCTCAGTTTGCATTCGGGAATGTTAATGACGCTCCGGATGTCGCCTGAAAGGTCAGCCACAATCCAGCGATCCGGGAATTCAGGCTCAGCCATTCCATGAAATTCTGAGTAGATGTGCTCTCCCTTGAGGATCCCGGTATAGTCAAGTGGGATCAGTGAGTGTCCCGTGACATGTCAACTCGAGCCCCCCCCCCCCCCCCCGCTGACGGCATGAATGTTCACCAGGTGAAACACAAGACATCAAGTTCCTCTGCTTGCAAGGCACCGTGTTTGACCAGAAGACTCGCGTATGCGAGAGATCGGAGGAGGTGCTCTGCTCGAATGGTGCCGACATCTACGACGTCAACAGGGAGCTCTACCACCATAGCAACAAACACCAGCAGTGAGCCTTTTCATACTTTCATAAAAGCCTACCCCGCCACTCAGGCGCTATATGCGTTGGTGTTCGTTAGATATGTAGGCATATAGGTATGCACATCCTCGGCGATATGCCTGAATAGCCGAGAAACTAACCCCATGATGACTCCTAACGACGTCGCTGGTTGTACACACCGCTTAATGACTGTCTCTGCGGTTGTTAACTATCGCCAGCTCCGTTGGTTTTGTGACCTTCATCGGTGCGTGACCTTCATCGGTTTCGTGACCTTCATCGGCGCGAAGGAACAGGCGTGGTGCACTCCGTTCAGGTTGACGTCTCATGCGCTTTAAGTGCGCATGGTGCGTGCGCTGTTTTCGCGGGTTTTCTTAACAGGCTTCAAGTCTTGTCACGCGGCTGCTTGTCCGTTGGGCTAACAAAAAAAAAAAAAACAACAACAACAACCGGATCGCCGAGCAGTTTGGCAGATACCAACAGAAAGGAACGGAGCGAAGTGTGCTGTGTCTCTGACTTGTGACAGCTCCATCCGACACGCCGTGCACGTCACAGACAGTGGGACGGCCTGGGTCGCCCAGCGACCCCACAACACGTGGCATGCAGGCCTCGGCATAGCCCACGGTTGCGTCAGGTCACGTGACATGGGTCTGACCGGGCTTCGATGTGTTGGGTGTTGGATGGGTCACCGCCGACGGCCAGACGCTCTCGGACGGCTGGCAGGACCGGCCGGCCGGCCTCTGGACCGGGGGAGGGCACGCTCGCTGATGAGGTGCTAGCAACAGAGCGCATTGGCGTACTGCACCCCAGTTAGCATCACCTGCGCGGTCCTCACAAAGCCGTCGCGTTAACGTGTCTTGAGCCATCGCGTCACGGACGATACGACTTCCAGGGAGTTCGCCGGAAACGTGACGGACTCCACGGGGGACGCGTCCGAGGCGCACGCCTTCCTGCCGCTCGACTCTGACTACCAGGACTCGGGCCGCTACCCGGCCTCCGACTACACGTACGACTACGGCACCGACTGTGCCGGCTACCGCGGCTGCACGCGCACCCGCTCCGAGGTGCCGCCGTTCCGGCCGCCCGTGCGTGAGCAGCGTGCTCAGCAGCAGCTGCCCAAGCAGCCGGCCTTCAGGTGAGCGGCTGCTGCTGCGCCCGCCGCTGGCGACGCTGCAGTGCCCGGGACACTTGAGCGGATTTGTGGGGAGTGGGTCCCACCGCAAGGAGCCCAGGCGCCTCATGGCATAACGGATCATCCTACTTTACATTTATTATGAATGCTTATGAAACATCGTGTCAGCGCCGAACCTTGGTCGAAAGGCCAACAGGACTTGGTCATATTTTTCACATAAGATGCATTGCCCATAACACCATTCGGCCTTGGCCTACGAGATACCGGCATGTCTAATGCGTTTTTTTTTGTAATCTCTTGTTTTTTGTTCCGGCAGCCGGTTCCGGCAGACCCGTCCTTTTAACAGCGTGTCGACGACGACACCGAGCACCACTACGGCACACCTGGCGGCGCTGGAATCGGTCACGGTGCCCATCATACCGGTTGTCAACGACCCGGACAGGCCCCGTGTGGTGGTCACCAACGGCAAGCCGTTCGTGCCCAAGCTGGACGCGTCGGACCTAGGCGCCCACGCTCACCCAGGAGGTGCGTGCCGCGGCGACAGTCGCCTGCAGACCTTCAGCTCTGCGCGGGCAGACGGCATGCGACCGAGTGTGAATTATGTGACGACATGAGATGGTATGTGTTCTGAGTGTCCGCTGCGGCGGGCGTCCCAATCTCGCGCAGACTGTGCCGCCCCGGACCGCTCGGCTGACACCGTCCTTTGACCGAGGCCGCGTGACCTCGTCCTAACCTCGCCAGAGCCCGGCCACCGGGCGTGAAGCTGTTCATCAGCGCGCGGGACATAACGCGTCGCAACAGAACACGAGTGGCATGTTTTACTTTCCGCGTTGCCGCCGTAGACCGCCGTTGCCCCGCTTAACTGTAATAGTGCCAGGGTCTGATGAAATTGTGACGGCTCCCTGCGTTGTAGGCATGGCAGTGTGTTGACATGCCGTGGGCAGAGCTGCATGCAACAGTACCAGCTGCTGGCTGACCTGCGATTATCAACCCGGAGTGACCGATCGAGGCGCACCGCTTTGATGCGTGGCGCATTTGCATTCCTGCTGACGGCTGCAAGCTGCCTATGCTCACTAGCTCTGGCTGCTACTTAACCTGTTTGTAACACGGTGGAAGACTGGCTGGTACCGCTGTAGGCAGGCTGATGAACGATGCAAATAGAAGGCTTCGAAACGCAGTCAGATGATTGCATGTCGGATCCGTCTTCGTGTTGGCAGGAGGAATTTCCTTCGCTGGCGCTGCCGGATACAAACTTCTCCTGCGAAGGCAAAGTCAGCGGGGGGCACTACGCCGACCCGGAGACGGACTGCAGGATGTTCCACATCTGCGTGATCGGCCCGGACGACACGTGAGTGCGACTGCGGCGGGATCCTATCACAGCGAGGCTCTGCAGCCACGCGAGGCATTAAAGCGGTCCGGGCTCGTTAGTTGGCTGGTATGCTGTGTTAGCCGTTACAGTGAGCGATTACTCCGTGGTTAATTATCGGTTACGTAGACGTCATCTAATTCATCTATAGACTAGGGATGGCTACGTTTTTTCTGTTTTGGAGCCTTTCAAACTCTGGCACCTGCGTGTCGTAAAGCTTTGACAAATGTAACATCGGGTAAAAGGAGAGTGCACGACATAATTTGCATAGCGTGCACACGACTGGTCTGAACTGCTTGCATCAAACGTATACAACATGTATCAACGTGCAGCCTTCGTCCGTCGTGCAACACGTTACATCGCTTTTCAGGATAACCGACTACAAATTTTTGTGCGGAAACAACACAGCGTTCGAGCAGAAGTCAAGAACTTGCCAAGAAATCGAGAAAATCGACTGCGCCTCATCTGTACTCAACTATTACGTCAACAATCATTTGATCATTCCCAGTAAGTCAGCCATTTTGTACCCATTCCCCGGCCGTTTATAAATAGGCTAAGTTTTCTGGATCAGTGGCCAAAATTACCTTTGCCATATGCCGCTGCTTACACCTAATGCCTTGTTTGCCTTTTCTTTGCCATGTCGCTACTTGCAGTTATATATCGCGCGCGCATGTACAATGCGAATTCAACAATGCTGTCCAGCTTTCACGTATATAGCTGCGTTTATCGGTTTAAAACCGTATAAGACTCCATTCATACCCTAACTTCTGTGCTTTCCATATGAAGCGCTTGGTCGCTAAGCTCCATCCGCCGTGTTTTCGTCGTGGTTGTCTTCTTTTTAAGCATATGTGCAACACTGTGCAAGCTGTACATTATCCACTCAGAACTTTCTTTTAGAATCATAAGTCAGTCGTTGGTTTTTCGCAAAACATGGCTGTCAGCAGCAAAACAGATTTGAAACAAGTCAGCGGTTCAACGTTAGAATGGTGGTTACTGATCCAGTAGCGGTCACTGTGGTTCAGTAACGGCCACTGTGATCCAGTAACGGTCACTGTGGTCCAGTAACAGTCACTGTGGTCCAGTAAGAAGGCGTTGGCGATCCGTTTTTAACCAGTCAGAATAAACTTAATATAACGATTATCTATTCAGCACAAAGCAGTTTCTGATGTGAAACGTCAGTGAAAAATAAATAAACACACGGTTCATGATACTTTTCAAAGAAAGACCACAAAAACGGGCGAAGCGCGAGCTTTTTTCTTTGTTCGCTGTAAAGCGTGTGATCGGACGTTTGGCTTCTCTTTTGGCATTAATTTGTATTCCAGCGCTCCTGTAAAAATAGCAAATTTTGTCGCTTCATTAAACTGGCAATCACTACAATGTCTGATCATACCAATGCCTACCTGTTCTTGGCATACCAATGCCTACCTACGCTGTCTTTCTCTGTTGGTGATGGCTCTGCCGCTTATGATGTGCATACAGCAGCGCAGTCTAGCAATGCTCAATTTGCTGCACATGGGTGACACTAATATGGCTGAGGACGTATGCCTGAGAAATGACTTTCAAATGTTTTGTCCTAGTTCGCATGCATGTAAAGTGTATTCACGTCGTCACAGAGTGGGCACAAAGTAGAATCGAACAACTTAATTTTTTGCTTTGCGTGCGTTCTATTTCCTCTCAAGCGATTTGGATGGGTCTGACGAGCCTGGGGTCGTGCCGCCGCCGGTCGGTCCGCTCAGCGGGGACTGGACGTCCGGGTGTGCCTCCATCGACGCCGCCCTCCCGTTCGCAGAGTGGCTGGAGAGCTTGGCGCGGCGCCAGGCCAGCCAGGGCGCCGCCCTCCTGGCGCAGGTGCCCGGGGGCGGCCTGCTCTCGCAGGGCCGCGCCATCGCAAAACGGGACGGCCCCACCCGCGTGATGCCAGCGTCACGCTCATGACCCTCGCGCCCGGCACACGGGCCCCCAGTGCGGTGCGATCCTCCTGTTGGCATTCAGGAGGAGGGCGGCCGCGGTTGGCGTCCTCCTGTTGGCATTCAGGAGGAGGATGGCCGCGGTTGGCGTCCTCCTGTTGGCATTCGGGAGGAGGACGGCCGCGGTTGGCGTCTCGAGCGCAGCTGGCCCGCCCGAGTGCTGCCGCCGCACGCCGAGTGTGAGGAGGCTCCCCGCCGTCCGCCCAACGCACGCGGGTGCGGTCGTTGTCGGTCGAGTGCACGGTAGCGTATTGGCCGCGGTCTGCACGTGTGTGGAGTTGCCTGGTCTGCACGTGTGTGGAGCTGCCTGGTCTGCACGTGTGTGTGGTAGCAGCCCGCATGCGGCGCCAGTCGCTGCCGGCTGGCGGAGCGGCGGCAGCGGCGGGTGACGTCACCGCACGCACCTCGGGCGCACGCGGCTGGTTAGTGCCAAACTGGTTACGCCTGTTGTGAATGCGTCAGGGTTTTTATAGAAAATATCGCGTTGTTGATGCCGTGGCAATAAATCTCCCAGCTGATGAGACTTTTCTCCCCAGCGTCGAAGTCAACCGGAAACAAAACGCCAAAGACCAAACAACAGGCATCCACAGCCTATGATGACTATTACGACTATTACGATGACTGACCGCGGAATGTTCGCCGTAAGTAAATTGCTGAGGAAAAACACTGCAGTATAGACCCTTGAACTAACGTATTTCTCTGCGCTTTACTGGTACTCAATACGCATGCCTAATGAACGTGTGATGAGCAGCACTGCTCATCTAATAAACTTATCTAGACGTGCATGAACCTGGGCCATTGGCCGAATTATATCAGATGTTCATAAGTATCGTCCGAGATGAGATTCACTACAAACATACGTAGCTGAAATCGAATCGTTGCAGATGCGAGTCCATTTTGGGATGCACTTAATGCATGTTTGGTGCATAACCAGAGTAAGTTGTTACAAGGACAATTTGTCTGCTATTTTGGTCATCCATGAATCATGCAGCGACATTGAGAGTGTCATGAAAAAACGTTACGGCTTACTGTAGAAAAGAAAACACCCAGTCGTTTTGCAATGTAAATAATTCGAGCAGCGGATAACTTTCAATGGTTTGGTTACCGCGCCTCATATCATGGGTTTGAGTTTCGTTCCGACCTTTTTCAAACTACCTGCATGCAGATGAACGCGGGCGTCCATGTGTCTTTAAGACAAGATATCTCTAGGCACTGCAGACCTCTTTTGACTTCAGTTAACACATGTCACCTTAAGAATGTTTGCTCGCACTGGCTAAAGAGATTGGAACGTACAAAGCTCATTAAGTGACGCTCATCTCAGCCACAAATATGTATATCCCAGCTGTACAATTCCAAAGAGCCTCAGTACGAGTTCAAAGTTCTAGTGTTGAATTAAAGACTTTCAGTATTCCTGGAGGTATTGCTTGAATAATGTTGTGGTGTTACATAAGGATTATATTGACGGTGCTCAATGTTTTGAGATGTGCCCATTCTCAGGAGTGATAAGTCATTAATCATATTGAAGGCTGTTAACTCTATAACACAATAACGTTGAACTAATGGTGTCGAAAACCAGGAAGTGAAGGTCTTTCTTTCTTATATCAAAGAACTTCACGCTGGCGAATTGCGAGTAGGAAGTTAAACAAATGGAAAAGCTTTGAGTTCATTAGCATGAGAGCTGTGGCATGCCATATTGATTCATCTGTGGCCTTATTGTTTGCCAGTAACTAATCTTAAGTCATTAATAATTCTGCAAAACTTTTCCTTAGCATGGCACCTATAGGAAGGCGAGTAGGCGGCGTTGTCGTTCTCACTATGGTCGCGTCGTATTGCATAGCGTTTGGCAGAAGGCGAAGCGCACAAGGGCCGATATTTAGACTGATCCAAATTTGCTGGGACTGTGAAACGGTTCTGTTCAATCTGATACTCTATTACGTGGGAAAAGCAATCGGCTAACATTCTTATTGTTGCTCAGTCACTATTACTATTCTATTATTACTATTACTATTACTATTACTATTACTATTACTATTCTGTCACTATTACTATTGTCATCTCTCTGAACGGCTACGCGGTAAAGCGGTTATACGAAATTCAGATTTCTGCTTGTTGTAAAAATATTAACCCTTTAATATTACTAAGTTCTTCAAACGGTTTCATTTGGAGCGTAATCCCTGTGGCCGAAGTGATTGGCTGGAGGTATAGCACTGCACTGCCGCTGACGGGACGATGGAGCATGTTTCTGCATTTCGCCAGAACGTGCGGGAACCTCTGGTTTAAAATAATGGTTTTTATCACCAAAAATGATCCGGAAAAGCTGAATATGCCCGCTTCTGCTCTATGCATTGGACCATAATATCATGCATTAAAACCCTGCATAACGAAGCACGGTGTGCCGTTGTCCAGGGAGCCTGTGCGTAAGACAAAACTGATAAATAGCTTATTTTTGCAGAGTCATTGCGGCTTCAATGAAGAGCTTGTGCCAAAGGCAAAGCCACAAAATATACCACGACAGTGCGTCGCAGTTTTCTACGTATTTTCTCAAAACGGATTCTTGTGTGGGCTTTGTCCAAAACCTTAGGTAACATTCTACATATAAGTGTTAACGCTGAAAACATCGGAAAATTACATTTACAACGAGTGTGTTGGTTACATGATGAATTGATGCAGCCTATCTTGAACGCGGATTTGAGAATGCTGGGATTTTGGTACAAAGTTTCGGGAGATCTAGCAAGGGCAACGAGTTTTACTTGAACTGTGATTAAATTTCAGCTCGAAAGACCCGCCTATCACGGTTATTAGAATGCAATATATTTACGACCGCTGATTGCAGGTTCACCAAGTTTTAAGCCGAAATCGCAATTCTATAAAAGAAAGTACACGGCATAAATCACCAAGCATCTGCATCCAGACTGTTTTGTTAAGCGGCCTTTTCCTTCAACCTTTCCATGTCACTATATATCACTCTCCATTCCACTAGCATGGAAAAAGTAAACTCAAGAGTTGGAGAAAATCACCTTGACTTGAGAAAGTCCGAAAACACGGGTCAGACCGTGTCCGGATCTCAAAGACCCGTTTTGGCAGGGAAACGGGGCTAACTTTCACTAGCAGAGGATGCATCAAGAACGGTACTGTCATCAGCGCGGCAGTGTATGCAGACTAGCAGCACGTGTTCAAATCATGTGGGCACCAGTTTTGGGACGTTTTTTGGATTGATGTCAAATTTCAAGAACTGAAGGACATAAAGACGGGAAACCAGATGCAGGGGGTGGGCAAATGTACCAGCTGAATCCCACTGTCGTTCAACGCGTTTGACCTATACGTGTGTCAGCACTAGACTGGAAAACGATCAATATCAGCTTTGAAATACCATCTCGATTACAAGACGTCGCCTAAACCTGTCGAGGTTTAGATTGGCCACGACGGCTATGTATTGGTATAAACCTGCTCAGTGCAGGCGATATCCATCCAAATAATTTGCGCTCGTCATAATTGCTTAAAACGTGAATTACGCAAGCGCAGCGATGTTGTCGATTGAAATTGCTAAGTCTGACCGATTTCTAGCCAGCTATTTTTGTTTATTTGTAAATGATAACTTGAATTCTTCACCTGTGGGCTTTCGCATCTAAAATTCCCATGAAAAGTACTTCTCAAAGCATTGATCGAGCATGTGAATATCGGTTGCCAGAGGTGTCTGGATCCATTGGATCAATTTTAGCATTATCCACATGATGGCAAATGGCAATCCTCACAGAACCGTTATCGCCGGCTCGTCCCACGCTGTTCGAGGCACATAACTGGTGCACTACATTGAGTTGGGAGGGCAGGGCGGAGTGTGACAACTTGTGACATGGGGCACGGGTGCAAATGTCGGAAAATGCTTCATGTAACATATTTTTGCAACTTTTTTGCAAGGTTTTACGCAAAGGTTTGCCCTTTGCAATCCTTAGCGTAAAACACTTTGTAAATTATGATTTTGTTTGAGGTTTTGGCTGTGTGACACCTGGCTAGACGCTGTGCTTAACTTATGTAATTAATTTGTTTGATGTCACTTACTTAAAACTTGGATTACGGACCTCCTAGACGCATTCTACACATGCATGCCTTAGACTCAAGAAGGGCACAAATACGTCTTAGTGGGAATAGTGTTGAGTTATAAGCAGTCTCTGGTATTAAGGTGTTCCGTTTCTTGCTCAAAAGTTTCAATTAAGCTGCTGTTGATTTGTTAGTACCACGTCCATAAATTTTATTTCAGGCACATCGGCGGAAAAGAGCACAACCTCCAGTTCAGGCGCAGCGATGAGCATCGAAGTATTATGATATGCGTCGCATTAATTCATTAATGTCTTCGACATTACAGACTGGCTGCGCTTCTTGCCGCGACTTTGTTTACATTTCTCACGACGCAGCATGTGTTTGGAGTCATCAGTGTCCTTCGAACTCGACAATTTTGTCTCTTCTTGCGGTGTTCGAAAGGGGCTGACCCCTGGATAACCTCACCGCGTGACGACGCAGCTGTGTGCACGACGTTACACTGTTGCACACAAGCGATCTTTTTTACATTTTCCTTGAAGACATAGCTTTAGTCGGTGAGGCTTTATTTGCGGCATCGATCACCCGCGTCTGGCAGCGTCTGTTCCTGTTGTTCAAGTTTGAGACAACCTACCTGTTTACATAATGTTGTCTGTATTGGTGGCGGGCGACAGTCATGATGAGCTTGGGCCGCGACTGTACCCGTCCGACGAGCACATCGCGTTCCGCAGGGACGAGTCGGCGCTCCAGACAAGTACGGCCATTCCCCTCGTGAAGGACAAAGCTCCACGTGCACACGTACCTGGGCTGTTCATTATAATGCGCAACTATCCGAGTAGTTCATGTGTCCATCATTACGCATCGCGCCTACACACTGTTAACCAACCGGTTTTCATCCGGTACCACCTTCATAGGTTTGCCGACATTCGTTGGGTAGATTGTGTCGCATGTGCACATGTACTCGGTACCAGTGGACTGCATTGCGTACATGCATGTTCGAATTGTGAGTTGCACACCTGTTTATGTCGCCGTGGCATAGTTCGACCGTCTTACGTGATAGTGGACGTATTTTTCCGTGTGATTTAAAGCTTCTGGCATCAATGGTGATTGTTACATGCGTTGTTGCTGTACAAGAAAGAGAATTTCATTGCCAGGATGAGAGTGTAGTTTAAAGCCATCCATGTATCTGTACTAAAATTTGTTATTGTATACGTTCCGTCTCGCTTTGGCACATCAAAGAGCATCCGACATCTTAGACATGTGGGGCTCCAATATGGTTACCACTGACTGAACGGATAGCGTACGTGGATGAATTCTTCTGTGTCTCCATTAGGATTGATATGATGATGAATCCTATCACGGGCTTGATTAGACGTGCCATGACAAGCAATATAGCCTGTATAATGTACTGCATTGTACTGCACTAGTTTTCACTTTTCTGAGCCACTATCACCACGGGACCTGATCTCAAAGGGTTGAAGACGTCTCAGCACGTAAATCGCATGCACGTAACGCACTGCGATGCCTTTCCTACAGTGCGCTGACTGTCACGAAGGCTTGGAACAAAGCAGACATAATAAGACGTGACGATGGAGCGAATGCTCAGCGTGGTGGGCATCCGATCTTGATCAGGAGCGAATAGAGGAGAGTCAGCTGAATTAGGAGTGGCACGGGTATGGGAGTAGTTTTAGTTATCACGGGATAAGTATGACTTGTGTTTTGCGTTGCGATACAGCTCAAATGAAAAGCATTGCACTTGCTCGAAGAATTGGAATCAAACAAAACATCCCGCTAGATGTCTCTGCATGCTAAGGCATGCGGACGACATTGTAGATCACATCATCTTAGAATATAACTCATATGGATCGCGGCTGGAAGGATTCAGACATACCCGGCTAGGTGGAGGTAAGTCTCAACATGGACTCGTCTGATATAATTCCTAGAAGCTGTTACCTCAGCGTTCAAATGCATCCTTCATTATCCAACAGTCACGTCTCGGCGGCTCAGTTGTTTAGAGCGCCTGCCTTCCGATCCACCCACCCGTGGCATGATGAGTTCGAGTCGCTTTAGGGCGCTCGCTATTTGCCCTGGACAGGTATTGCCTGCGGCCGGTGCCGGCGGTCGCTGTAAAGGTCAGCTGACGTCAGAGGGCAGGACGGACAGTGCCGAGCATTGCGGTCCGTTAACACGCGCTCGGGTGGGGGTCAAATTGACCCCCGAAAGTTTTTCCAGAATGGTTTCTGAACGGCGCGGCGTAGACACGCCGAATTTTGCATAGCTGCTGACAATTGAATAGCGGATCGTTTGGCATAAAAATTTAGATGCACATTGTGAGGTCGCTGACCTAGGTCGCTGGCAGGTCAAAGTCAGACCATGGTTTCAGCGAAGGCAATTTCTAGGGAATCCTTCAATTTGATCCGACAACGGAGTGTTAGACGAAGCCATACATCTCTGGGATGCTTTCTTAGGTAACGACAGTTGAAGGAGCAAATTACATTGACCTAAGGTCAGTTATAAAGGTCACAACAAGGTCAAAACCAACCTGTTTTGTTACTCCAGGGCTTGCTGTGCGAGAAAGTTTCTAGTGTTCATTTCGAATTTATTGATAGCAGGAACCGCACTATACACCTTCCACGAACTTACTAGAGGCCAGGATAGGTCATTGGCCTAAAGTGACCCGGGTCAGCATTTTTGTTTTGGGAACATGCTGCCAAATGTAATCTTTGCCGCTTAGTCAAATGCAAAACTCAAAGCAATCTTGTATGATTTTAGTCACCTTGACTTTCAAAAGGTCAAACAAGGTCACTGACCTTGAATGAGCACGTGACCTTTTGCTTAGAGACGGTTATATAGGTTCTGGGGAACTTTTGAGACCAACCTGGAATTTGACCTTGTCTTACCTTTTTTGACCAGAAGGTCATAACCTAGGAACCTGAAACTTTGACTTAAGCGAGTTCACGCACAGATAAACACACCCTGTAAATTTGGTGTATCTAGCTTTCTTAGTTCCCGAAGTCTCAGGGTGGTCAAATTGAACCCCGCCTCCCACCCGAGCGAAGGGTATCTAGCCGACCACCCGGCCGCGTGTTAAGCTCTCGCCACTAAGTTCTGCCGTTGCCTGGAATTGTGCGATCGGATGTGGGGGTCAGGGCTTACACGACAAGCACTGCTTAGCGTGAGCGCTGATCCCAGAAATCCATCCATTCAAAGGATTAGGATCAATTTTTTTAAGTGCTGTTGCTGCGTGGAAGACGGTAGCCGGTGCCCTGTAATTATTTTACTTCCGATGGGAAAGCCGATAGCCGTATTTGCAAAGGCGGGACACAAACTCTCCACAGAGCACGTTTAAGCGTATTACGTCTGGGCGTACCTAATCGACACAAGAACTAATCCCTAACAAGAGCCAAGACTCATCTGTAACTTCAGAAACTCGTGGCTAATCCTAATGTTGTATGCGTAAAGTGGAACCGGTCCATTGCTTCAAAAAAAGTGCATTCCATTCGCTGCGGTGATACTATTTCAGCTTGTCGTCACGTGCCATTTCTGATAACGGATCTGCTATGGTCTTCATAGCATATTTCGCAGTGACATTGCGGTGCGGTGGTGATGTCTTCACTTAGTGTTAATATATATTCGTCAAATGCATGGGACAGCGGAATGTTCAGGTCGGGGATTTGACGCGCAATACCATGTTCAAAGAGCTTGCAGGACGGCCTCACTGTAGCCAAAGCACTCCTTGATGCAGAGCACATATTTGGAGGAAACGCTTACCTTGTCCGAATCAAATAATTCCGTAAGCGCCGGTCGCACATTCCGCTCTGCTCCCCTCCCCCTCCCCCCACACATAGCAAAAATTTATCAAACTTGGCGGTCGTATACTAGATGTTGCACCTTTCAAACGTGCACAACAGTGCGCGAAGATACGTGGACGGATGACTTCTAGCTTGTAGAGTCAATGGACACAGTTACATCATAACACTGAAACTATCTGACAAAAATGCAAAATCACATCATTCAGTGCATGTCGAATAGATCAAATCGCAAAACATTACCAGATCACACGCAGGCGGATTTTATCTGAAAATCGTTCGTGAGATGCACAGCAAAACTAGAGGTCATTTTCCACACAGCCAATCATGACTGCATGTCCAAAGTCAGCAAAAGCGAGAAAGACACACACCTCTTCAAAAGCATGGACAGTTTCATTCGTGACACTACACAAGCACAAGTCGATTATCGATAAATGACATTGACCGTTGCCCGTCTCGAGCTGCAGTGCTACGCTGCCGAGCGGCTACGTGACGACATGCGCACATGGATGGAGCCGAGATGAAAACATGCCTCTGCGCAAAACGGCGAGCGAGACACGGTAACTTTTCATCTGACCTGTATATGACCTGTATATGACCTGTGAAAACTTAGGCAGGGCGTGATAATTTGACCGTGTTTTAAAGCCTGAAGGATGTTTGGGAGTCTGACAATGAGATGCACGTTGTGGGGAACTGTATAAAGATGGGAGCAACATCATCTATAAATGACTGCATCGCCTGTGCGAAGTCGAAGGATCGCGATATTCCTTGGACTGGGGGCTCTGGGCTGACAATCTCCGAGTATGTTCGGCAAAACAAAAAGCTGGATGGCAGCTGCGACTTCTTATTTTCAGCGGTGGAACACTGAAATGTCCCGATTGGAACTACATAAAGGGTCGTTTAAGAATATGACATTGGGGTGCCGGCAGTGCACAGGTGCTGCGCGCCTGAAAACCAGAGGTACGGAGTTCGATTCCCTACGGTGCCTGCCCTTCCTGCCAGGGTGAGACAGGCGACGCCAACCAGCGTCAGCAGCTGGGCGCGTCGTCAAACCCCAAAGGGTGACCAGCAAATGTCGTCTCAGGTAAAGATGAGTCACATACAAAAGCGAAAACATGACATGCGTTTTGGTCGGCATGCACTCTCACGCGTTGTCACAGATAGACCACGGCGAGGCAGTGGAGTGCAGTGTTCATTAATATTGCAACGCCCTGAAACAAATGCGCGAAGCTGCATTGCGTAAATGTTCACTTTCCCTGACCGGTTAGCGGAAAGATCAACCTTTGGGCATGCGGTGCCTCGTCCCAGTAACCTTGAACCTACGGTACCTGCCCGGGACCTACGGTATCTGTTCGGGACCTGTAGGTGCCTGTCCGGGACCTGCGGTACCTGTACAGGACCTACGGTACCTGCCCGGGGCCTACGGTACCTGTCCGGGACCTACGGTGCGTGCCCGGGATCTGCGGTGCCTGTCCGGGACCTGCGGTGCCTGTCCGGGACCTGCGGTACCTGTCCGGGACCCACGGTATCTATAAGAGGACAGCGGACAGGTACATCCGCGCTGACAGGTTAACAGGTACGTACGGCGGACAGCTATGCCGGCCTGGAATTTGCACGCTTTGGGCTGCCCGAGTACACCATGCTTTGTTGAGAGAAGATGTCTATGAACTATCGAAATCGCACACTGCGTTAACGTCTCACCGGATCTATCGCATGCGTACACACCCGGTATGGGAGTTTGGGCCGCTAGAGGTGCAGGCAGGAGGGGGGGGGGGGGGGTAGTCTAATGCGGTTTGAGCCCCCCTCCCGTCAGGATCAAGCTTAGATTTCAGCCACGCATTATTTGAAATAATTCCGTAATTTGTGACAAGGAAAATTAGTTTGTATTGCCAGGCAGAAATAATTTGGAGACAAAGTCAGTGGATAACCAAGTGACTATGTACGGTACGCAGTTAAGATAATTGCTTGCGGGGTGGGGCAAACCAGCATTGATAGCCAACTGAGGCGTGATGTACAGTTCGTTTTGGTACTTGTGGCGTCTGTTCTGCGTGTGTACGTTATGTGATTACGTCTGGGACTTGCTCCTGAATAGACTTGGTCCCTAAACAATTCCTAAGGTCGTTAGTTGCCCGTGAAGTTACGGCATAGCATAGTTGGGGCGTAGTTGTGTGCCTAAGTTGGCTGAAACTAACTCACTTGAAACAAAACCCAAAGCCTAGAAAACCAACCAAGCAGTGCCACAGCCCGTCCTTCTATGCTCTGATACCAACAGAAACAGCGGTACCAATATCTAGGGTCCGCCAAGTGTACAAGAATCCAAGGTCTCGTGTGGGTAGGGTGGTTTAGTTGTTTAGATTTGTTGTTTGGTTGGTTTAGTTGTTTAGATTTGAGCCCTTTCGACCAGAAATGTTGATTTCATGGCTATGGGATGACGGAAAATGGCTAACCGTGGGGAAAACTTACATGCGCATAGGGGCCATCCGCCGGGCTTCAACCCGCGCATGCGCGCTGGGAACCCGTTTGGGGTCCCCCTTCCCGCGGGGCTCTCGGCCCACTCGTGGCTGACGCATGCAGCCTACCCCGGATACGCTGGTTGCAGGATGAAGCAAGATAGGACATAAGAGGGACGGATGATATCTGGATGGCGCGCAGCCCGCTATGGTAACGGTAAATAAATGATGCCGGGTGGATTCCAGCAACGTAAGACTCCTAGGCCCGCCTGTCCCAACACTGCGCAGCTCGCTGCAGGATAGACGCCGAACGAGGTTTCTATGATGTGCGGGTAGCGCATCACTATCACAATCACGCGCTGGCAACGCCTACCATCGAGCAGGACGGCGGCAGTACGCGTCGCCGGCATCACGAGCACCCCAAGCGGCCTCACTCAGAACTGCAGCTGTGGGCGCCCCACCGCCAGTCGGCGCTGGCGTTGTCTTTGTGGCTGCTCGCCGCGCGCCAGCTGGTCATCAGCTGCCGACTGGTGCGCACCCACAGCCGCGTGCGCTGTTGTCAGAGGGTGCCCTGGCGGCTGCCGGGCCGCAGCGAGGGTGCCCGCGTCACCTCCGACTCCGAGGACGAGCTGAACACCGGCGACGGCACCGCCAGAGAGCACTGAGACGCGAACGACGGTCGCCGCGAGCCGGCGTCCGAGCCCGGTCCGAACGCGGTCAGCAGCTGGCCGGCGCTGATCGAGCTGCGGCCAGCACACAGGCGGGTCAGCGGCCAGCGCCAGCGTCGTCGTCAGCGGCCAGCACCACCGCCTACGTCAACGGCACGTGCGGTGGTAACTTAAGGGTCGACTGAACCTTCTGCCTGACAAGCACTCGCGGTACAGGCTGGCGACAATTGGTTGCTATTCGTCGGATTGGGATTGAGCAGACCATAGCAAAAAGGAGGCGAAAAAGACATCTTAAAAAAGAGCACCGAATGTGGCAAAGGATTATAAACGTGATCGCTAACCTGCTGTTTGGTAACGTTACAGTTTGGTGACGGTAGCATCCTATAGTGGTGTTACCCATTTCCTGTTCACGCTTTCACGCTACGTTTGCACTAATCTCTCAGATGTTAGACAGCAAGGCTCATACGATTCCCGGGTACTTCAAAAATATGCCTACGCTGATGATCATGCTACCTCAGCTTCCCGAGCAAACTTGTTACCTGCAGCAGGCATGGTTGGAACGACAGTATAAGTAAATAATCCCGTAAATGGTATAACGCGACATGAGAGCGCAGCAGGCCCGGACCGCGCTTGGCCATGCCGGGTTTAGCGGTGCTCCTTCACTAATATGGGGTGGGCGTTTCATAATGCTTACAGCTGTGCACCATGCAAACATAGGAACTTGTAAAAGTATTTTTGGCCCAAAAGCTCTCTGGAGCGTCGCATTCTGTTTGTACATTGACGATCATTTCGGCAAGCATAGTGTCCTTATATGTGCATTGCTGGCAGGCATAGAAATTAGTGCAGCAGGCGTTGTTGGGACGGCAGTATAAGCAAGCTATCCTGTAGATGGTGTTAAGAAATATGAATACGTCAACAGACACGAACCATCCCTTTGGCCGTGCTAGGACGAGCCGTGGTATGAAGCAGTGAACAGTGATATGATATTAATCACTGATATCGAGTAGGTGTTGCATAGTGATTCCATTAGGTTGCATAAAGATTGCAGTTGTGCATCATGCAAAATATCTTTAATTGCAAAAAGTATTTTGAGCCCAACAAATCTCTGAAGTTTGTACAATGACGAGCATTTCAGCGACCGTAGTATCATTGTATGTGCATTGCTGGCAGGAATAGAAATGAATGAAGGTGTCTTTCAAAGACGTCAAAGCGACAGGCTTCACGTGATTAGTTTTATTCAATTCAAAGAACATCATTCGCATGATTGACCAATAGCGTAGCGGGTGCTATGATTTGGTGCCTTTCATCATGATGTCATGATGTCTGTTCGCAAGAAATAATTTTAATTGTTCACAAACCATATCATTGCGCGTCACCCGTCAAACGATTTCTCCGAATTCGTCCTGCTGGTAAGTTTTTTTGGAGGTTGCCCCAACCCGTGCGACCAAGCACCTTTGACCGCACGTTACAAGAGAGCACTGATTACGACCGCCGAGGGCTTCCCTCAAATCTTTAACCCAGACAAGGACTCAGGTCAGAGATATGGGTATTGCAGCAATTTGACATTGGTCGGCGTTGCATTTAGGAACATTCTTGGCAGTGCAGGTGATGCAGTTGAAGGGAAACGAAAAATATCCCGGCTGAAAATGTCTACCACAAAAAAAACCAGTGTCAAAGTCAAATGGCTCATTCCAAAACATGATTTGATCACGTACCGTGTACTCAAGATATTCCACGAATTAAACGAATTGGCTGAAAGAAATACACCGTTGTCATGGAAACCGTTGATGACGCGTGGCGCATCCGATTGGGCCATCAGCATGCACCACCTGAGTTGTGGTTTCAGCTAACAATTGGGGGATACATAACTCTGTCGGAGCAATGGAGGATGTGGAACTGGGAATAAATATCAAAAGAGAGGTGAAAAATGAGCAGCCTTTACCTGTGCACCCGGCTGGGAAACTCGTCCGAGCCGTCCTTGTCCAGCACCTTCTTCTCCAAGATGGTTACCCTCTGCTTCATCTTCCTTTGAGACGACGCGTATTCTCCTAGCAGTCGAGCAAACCGCGTCTGAAGCTTATCCAGCAAATCATCTGAAATCAGGAAGGAATCTGTCCGAACTGCCGAGGTTGAAGCTCGCTTACATGTCGCTTTTGTGAAGCCGGTTTGACATCGTATTGACGTAAAACTTGCACGCAATGCCAAAGGCTCCGCATCATGACTTATACCAGCAAGAGAAGAACTGTACGCATCGCTTGGAATGGTATTCTTTGAAGCTGACTACAGATCTCTGCAAGCCAAGACGGGTATTTTTCCTATATGAAGACGGATGCCGTTCGTTGTCTGTGAAAAAAGCCGACAATGCGTTAAGCAACGAAGGAATAATCAAAATGATAATTGGGGTTGTCACTCACCAAGCTTCTCGACCTGTTCCTTGAGACTGAGCTGCTGCTGTTCTGCGTCCTTGAGCGCGTCCTCGTCTAGCAGGCCGTCCTTCATCAGCAACTGACGACCCTTCTCGATCAGACTCTTGTAGGCCTCCGGGTAATCGTTGAGGGTGTTCCAGAGATCGTCCTTGGAGAGACAGAACAGATCCGAGTAGCCCACGCTCTTGACATTAGCTGTGCGCCTGTTGCCGATCTTGTTGCCGGCGATGTTCATGATGCTGACCTCGCCAAAAACACTGCCAGCGAGCAGAGTGGCAAACACCGTCTTTCCGTCGTCTGACACCACGATCACTCTGCCGCGCTTGATGATGTACATCTCCTTGCCGACGTCGCCCTTGCGGCAGATGTAGTCGCCCGGGCTGAAGACCTGCAGCTTCAGCTTGAGCACCAGCTCGACCAGCAGGCCGGGCTCGCAGTCTTGGAACAGGCGTACTTGCTTCAGTGCGTCCAGGTGCACGTGGATGGCGATCTCCGCCTTCAGCTTGTCTGGCAGCGTTGACAGGATGTCCTCCTCGTTCAGCGACTGCTTGTTGGACCAGAGGTAGTCGAACCACTCAATCACGCGCCGCTCCAGGTCTTTGCCCACCTTGCGGAACTCCATGTACTGTTTAATGCTGTCCATGCGGTTCTGGAACTCGGCACGCGAAGCGTTCATGTTGGTGATCATGGAGCCGACGTTGCCGACGATGGTGGCAAAGATGAGCACACCGGCGAGGAAGTCGAGCGTCACGAACACGTACTCAACGTCCTCCACCGGCTGCGGCGTCTCGCCGATGGTGGTCAGTGTCAGCGTGGACCAGTAGAAGCTGTAGATGTACTGGTGCATGAGCGTGCCGTTCAGCCCCGGGGTGATGTTGCGGTACACCCACTGATCTGTGCCAAAGCCGATGGCATAACTCAGCGCAAAGTAGAGGCAGGCGTTCCAGTGGATCAGGACCAGGATGTACAGCACCACTTTGCTGATGCGGAAGGCATTGGGGAAGGCAGTGCGGGTCTCCGTCCGATCGAAGTACTCGCTCATGCGCGGGTAGCGCAGCACGCGGTTGATGCGGACGATGCACGGGCAGGGCACGAAATAGTAACACTCTGTGCCCAGGTACAGGTAGAGCAGGTCGGTCGGCAGCACGGAGATGATGTCCAACACGAAGTGGACCGAATGTATGTAGTTGCGGTGAAGTTTCCGAGCGTCCCTGACGACGAGTCCTTCCTCCAGGTAACCTAAGGATAACAGCGACATAAAGCGGCTGGACGTACGGCGCCTAGTCACGAGTCGCGTTTACGTTACGTTCACAAGTAGATTAATCCTTAAGTTAATCACATTTACTCGTTCAGAAGGTTTCCATTTGAACCATTACCATCGAGCCTCCCGTCGACGGCTATTACCATCAAGCTTGCGCAATATGACATAGCACAAAGTAAGCAGTTCAGAATCATCGCACGATGCAGCACGTTGATTCACGCAATCAGCAGTCTATGCAAATGTGTACCCGGCGTGGCTTTCCAACACGACACACGTATCCGGCAGGGACAGATTGGAAGCTATTGGGAATTCGAGACGGCACCGTCACGCTTCTTACTTTCATGCGCCTTGATGGCCATGTCCATCAGGTAGATGGTGTCACATATGTAGTCGAGTGCGAACCAGACGCGGGGGGCCAGGTTCTGCAGCTCCCAGAACACGGTGCGTCCGACGATGACGAGGACGTTGTAGAGGACCGCCACCGTCACCACGCCCAACCACTGCGGCACGGGACGGGCGCACCGCGTCAGACCCGGCAACGGTGGTGATGTCACGCGCTCGCACCTCGCTGGCGCCGGTCCACAGATTACGAAACCCTGTTGTCATCTGTCTGAGTAACACAGGAAATCAGGACATCGGTTCCAATCAAAACTGCGCAGTTTAATTCCGTGGAATTCAAGAGCGTCACGGAAAATTTAGCATTGCCGAATACGCTACTTCAGCATTGTGGGGATTGTCACAGGAAATATGTGTTAGTTTGTATCCAAGTAACTTATAGATTACCACATGGCCTACGCTAAGTTTTCCCATCTTTCCTCATGGTCTAAAAATATTATATCTCCACGTGACTTGTTGACGCTTAGATGGCAAACAAATCTAGCAACACGCATTACATTCACGCGGCGCGGGCAGCTTTGCATTGGATAGAAATATTTGCCCACGCACAAAAAGACGGCATCTTCCTTTGCTTAGTAATGTGGCATAATGCCAATTTACGTCAAATGCGAAATCTGAATAGCTGCCAGGCGTCAACCGTCCTACAAATGGAGGCCACCAAACTAAGTGCAAGGTTTGCTCGAGGAGCTTTTCTCATCAAGGGAGAGTATAGGATTGCGGAGGCGAGACGTAGTGAGGCTTTGCGTTACGCTAGAGTGCAAGAAAATATCTTCATTCACCCCACCAGCAAATTCCACGTCAAGATCGAAATCTCATTTCGATCCAGTGGTGCTGAGATCTAATGCCACATCTGCAAGTACCGGCTACAGCAGCCGTGTGAGCGGGCGAATCAAACTAGACGCGGGTCGATCGCTTCCGCCAGCCATGCGTGGAATCCACATCAGTACACTGACAATGAGGCGTGTGTTAAAGGGTGCTGATGGTGGGGTGAATGAATGGGCCGGCGTCCTTCTAAAGCAACGAAAGGAAAAAACCCTTGTCCATTCGGCTGACGATGTTGTTCGCATCTCGTCTGGTAGCGTTTGTATCTCGTCTGGTAGCGTTTGTATCTCGTCTGGTAGCGTTTGTATCTCGTCTGGTAGCGTTTGCATCTCGACAGGTAGCATTTGTACCTTGTCTGGTAGCGTTTGTATCTCGTCTGGTAGCGTTCATATCTCGTTTGGTAACGCTCGCATCTGGTCTGGGAGCGCGATTTATATCGACGAAAAAAATCGCAGCTGGGCTTTACCGCGCTTTGTTACCATATTCCAACTTTTTTATTCTGTTGGAACAACAGTAAACCACCATATTGCCATTAACTTACCCAAAAAAGGGTTTGAACGTGATTAGTACTAAAACTAAAGAATTAAAACCTTCCAAGTGGTGTCTGTTGTGACCAACTGTCTGAAATAGCATCAGATTGTCGGTCAAATCACAGCAGTTAAAGGGCTGTCTTGTTGCAAACGCATTTTTCCAAATGAAATATTTTTAACTCCAAGAAAGAAAAAGTCCCTGCTCTTCCCTGCTACATTTTCATAGCTCGTTTTTGCACTCGCACTTGCTTCCACGGCTCACAATGTCGTTAGACCAGGTCCTAAGCCATATGATTTGCCACTGTGGCATGTTGCTCTCATAAGGCATTCGCGTTAACCCGGCGTTGACCGGGCTCCTCAGTGGCACACGATTGACCGCAGGGGGCATATTTAACCCACACCCCACTACTTAACTCAAGAACGACCAGGCCAAACACAAAAGTGCAAATCCTTGTCAACCGAACCGTGGCGTGCGGCCTCAGACCACACAAGAGAACTTGGTTCAAGTGTTTACTAAGGTCATACATTCAGGTCAAATTGTTAAAATGTTTCTTTGGAATATCTGACCGTTCCCATAACACATTTAATTCAGAAGCCTATCTCATGGTGTGAAATTACTTCGTCCTGATCAAGTATATTACGAAGGAAGGTACTCAATGTTACGTGTGCCGCATCAGGCCTAGAGCCCAAGGGCACGTGCCGTGCAAATACGAGCTAAAACCTTGGTCTATATATATATATTTAGTCTACTCATTTCTATCATATCTGAACCAACTAGGCGCGAAAAGGGATGTCCTAGCCGCAATTATGGGTTCCAGACACGTGAGCGCTGTCATTTGTTCATAAGCGTCTAGGTCAAGGTCAGATAGATAGACTTTGTGGTGAATAAGCGGTTGAATCGATGTTTGCGCCGTTTTCGCCGGTTCAGCTCATCCGACAGCGCAGCCTGATGCCCTCTCATCTCGCCGCCCTGCGTTAAAAGTGCCAGTGCCAAAAAACGAGCTGGGAAAATACAACAAGAGAAAGTAATGCACTTTTTCTTTGTTGAAGTTACAAATATCTCATTTAAAAACAATTTGTTTACAAGAATCCTGTTTCCTCCGTGATCTGACAGACAACCTGACGCTATTTCAGGCAGTTTGTCACTACTGACACCACTTCAAGCGTTTTAGTTCTTTAGTTTTGGTATTAATCACGTTTAAACCATTTGTGTAAGCGGTTGGCAATATGCTGTTTTGCTATCGTTTCGACAGAATAAAAGCCCATGGAATATCGCGACAAAGCGCGGCTGCAACCCAGCAGCAATGTTTTCGCCGATAAAAATCGCGCTACCAGACGAGACACGAGCGTTACCAGACGAGATATGAACGCTACCAGACGAGATACGCCCGTCGGTATGCGTGTGTGTGAAACTGATGAACGGCTCATGCCGCCCCGTTGCCGCGCCACCGCGACAGACCTGAGCCCCGCCGGCCGCCGCCGCGGTGCCAGGCCCACCCGGCACGTGCAACATGCGCTGTGGTGCTTTTCAGGCCATCACCCAGTCATTGTTACAGATGATTGCTTGAAACTTGGTACAGGCATTCTTCATAATCGTATCTAAAAACAAAAATATTGTGATCTCTCTGAATTTTTTAGTCCGTGACCGAAAAAATGTTTTTACTTTCCATAAATATTTTTGTTATTTGACATGCCAACATGTTAATGCGCAATACTGGAACGACATACCAGCAAAGCAAATATGCAATGACCTCATTGGCTCACATTTACCGTTAACAGATGAAAAATACGTCCTTTCGTTCGACTTCCGCGTCTATTTATCTATGGTTATGCACTTTTGTCAAAAATCGGCAACCATGGCGTCCGTCTCACGTCACTCACGCTTAAACTATTGTGGTCTGATGGTTGTTATGTTGGCGCAGGGTGAAAAGCTCTTCAATCAATAGCTAATAAAAATCTCACGGCTATATTTTGAGACGTTTTTGAATTATCGCGCCCACTGGGCAGGAGGCCAAAATTTGACCTCCCCCCGGGTCAATGCCGGGTTGCAACCAAAATCGAGCAGACTGTTGCGGCATCTAGACTCTAGAGGGAATGATAAGTAAAAAACATATGAATGAAGAGGAGATATCACAACTTAACACGCACCTACCCAGCACCAAAATTCTTCACCTCCGTTCCTTTGGGGGAGGCTGAGTACACAAACAATTGTTGTTCGGTCAGTTGTTTAGGAAGTCACGGCCCACTTCCCTGATCCTTTGGGTATCTTTCCTTTTTCCAAGGGGTTTTCTTTATTCTGTAACAATTCAGCCAAGCCTGGGCCAGTAGAGGATGAATACGAGGTAGCGGTACTTGCATAGGGCAGTATTTTAGTTCATGCGTTACAGCTGGCTACAAAAAGTGAGCAGGCAATGCTTCTGTGGTGCGGAGTCTGCCGATTAGAAGCTATCTCTTGCAATCAGGATTGTCCGCCCCTTTGGAAAAATAGGTTTAGAAACCCATTCTCTTCGCCCCGCCCCTAAACAACCTCATGGTATGGCGTCAACAATGCGGATGTACGCCATTCTTTTGACCAGCGCAACGAAGCATTGCTTTTGTTTCTTGAACGCAAGGCGGCTGTTTAATTGTGTCGCTTACTATTGAAAAGACGGAAGGCATCACATGAGCATACGCAATCCATCCTCAATCACTCATGCGGCCTGCTCGAACACTGCACCGTTCGGCGTCGCCATGGACACCGATCAAAACATTCCGAGACAACCTCTGTGGTCCCGTAAAAATCAATAGCGCTATTCCCGGACGTATGCTAATCCCGGATGTTCGGCTGGGATTCCGTCCTGATTTGCAGTCGTTATGGAAACGGGGCCAATGAGCTCAAGGTCCCACGTGTCCAGCGTGTCGGGGCCATATTTAAGGTCCAGTCTCTCTTCCCAGGCGCCTGTGAGTATTTGGGCGACGAGATAACGAAGCGGATTCACTTGTTCCCATTTGTACCACAATGTTTACGCACCGGAAACGGATCAAAATGAATTTTTATTTTGTTCACGACTTTGCCGGAAGAGCGGGCCTCACATCCCCAATGTCCTGAACCATTCCAACCAGCCATCTTAGGCCCGCTAAGCCCCGAAGCAAATAGCTATCCGACGTCCTTGGTAAAATTGTATGGACTTAACGCTAAAGACCGGTGCGACAGAATGACGCAGTATGGAAAATATGGGACCGCTTTTCGAACCCGAAACCAAAACCCACTAAGGCGTTTTGAGGCGTTTAGTAAATAGCTCGTCCGATGGCTTTTTTAAAACAGCGTCAGCTGGATGCTAAACACTGGTGCAACAGAGTGGCACAAATGGAGACGAGGCATTTCTCACCATCCTTGAAGTGAATATCTCACATCTGAATATATTGAAACAAGCATCAGATTTGATGAGCAAGCTAACTTATAAACATTGGCTTACTTTTAAGTGGAAAAGACTTCTAGACAGCACAATTCTCTCTTTAGTAAATATACTCAAGGCATTGTAGTTTGGTTACGTCATCGTCCCTTGATATACCTTTCCCCATTTTCTAGCTCAGAAACTAGAGGGACTTAAAACAAAACTTAAACTTAAACAAAACTTAAACAACCTACACTAAACTAGGAGGTGCTGCCGAAACCAAGGCACCAACAAATCACGAAGAAATATTAAGAGAATGTTTAAAGTTGTCAGCAGTGGTCAATGCCATGAGTTCGAGGGCACTGCTGGAAAGGATCT